TATATGTCAGCCGGCAAAAGAAACACGGGAAATTATTTTTGCCATGACTAAATAACGCTCTATAATATGTCATACGCTTTTTTTTCTTTTTTTTTTTTTGGAAATCTGGTCTGTTTTGTTTGTCACGGAAAATTAGAGTTATTGCCCCTTAATAAAACACGGAAAAAATCCACGAAGGGCCTTTGTAACACGGTCTAAATGAGTGAACACTGGGTGAAAAGTACTCGCCTAAAGTTGGCTGTAAAACCCCCGGTAAAAAAATCGGTTCTGTCTTTTTAACTGCATTTACTACGACAATGCCACGTGTAAGTGCGATACAGAAAGAAAGAGCAATTTTCCGTTTAGAGGGTGGGGAAAGATTAACTGTGGTCGCCAATCCTTTTGTTGCCCACATCTCGACTATCCACAAACTGATAACTCATTTTCAGCTCACAAATTATGTGACGGATAGATAAAGTCAGGTCGACCCCGTGTGTACCGTTGCACGTGTAGATAGACACTCTGTCTGGATGCATCGTGCAAATCGACTTCAAACAACTACAAGAACGTCTGATTTGATTAGGAATACCCAGAGGAGAGCCATAAGTCAACACACAGTAAACCGATGATTGCACCAGGTAGGCCTTAGACGCCATTGACTTTCCCATGGTCCCGTCTTGACCGCACACCATCGCCAGGAGCGCCTCATCTGGGTTCACCACAGTGTCAACATGTGTCTGAGAGACTGGTTTTCTCGTTTCAGACGATAGCCTGTTCTCCATAGATACAACAAACAAGCACCTCCAAGATTACCGAGGGAGATGTGAAGGTTTTTGGGGAAACTGTGTCATAGAGAACAATCGCTGAGGAGGATATCGCGTCATGATCTGGGGTGGAATCATGCGGATCTAAAAAGCATGACCAGTGATTTTCCAAAATAAAGGCCTAGTCCAATGTCAGGATGCCAATGCTGTCCACTACATGACAATAGCGTTTAGGCCATATGTGCTGCCTCTACACAGACTAAACTTTAACGTCCGGTTCCAGTAAGATAATTCTCTTGCGCACGCTGCAATTACTATGTATGATTTTCTCCAACGCTATGGCAACACTCTATAGTCTCACTCTGCCTTTAGCCAGGATTTTGGGAAGAAATTAAACGGCACCTTGAAGAGAGACAACCAAGGCCGAGAAGCACGCAGGAACTGGAGGCCAACCTAGAGATACGGAGGCAGATCCCGCTACGTGTTACCAACAGCCTAGTGGCTTCCGTGTACCGGAGATGTACTACGGTTATCCGATCTAATGATGGCCATACCCGCTACATTTTGATGCATTAACCGCAAGTTGAAAATATATTCGTTTGAAATGCAATGTTCTCAAACATAGGGTCATCATCATCATCATCATCATCATCGTCATCATCATCATCATCATCATCATCATCATCATCATTGTCCAGTGCCAGATCTGAGACAGACATCGGCAATCATGGTTCTCCATTCATTGCTTTGCTCGAATGCTCTTTAAAAAAGCTACGTTTCCCTGATCTTTCCCTGTCACCCGCCTGTTCAGGTTCCCCAAGTACGTTGCTCAGGGCCTACCCCTGCCTTGCTTGCCCTCAATCTTGCCAGTGAAAGCTAGATGTTCAAGACCCTTATGTCTATTCAGTTGTCCTAAAAACTGCATTTGTAGTTTCCTGGTGGTTTTTAACAGTGAGCGTCCATCGTGGGCATCATCAAGCACTACTTCATTTGATTTCTTTGCCTTCCACGATACTCTTAGCGGTCTCCTGTGATCATAGGGTGATAATGTGTTCAAGTTTCTTTTGGGCACCTCTGTATATATATATATATA